TGTGGTCAACTTAAAGTGGAAGTCCAGCCACACAAAAACCAATGCAAAATTAACACATCATATATTATATGGCCAAACATACATGGACAAACCTCCCAATGACTGAGTTCAGGTGTCTCCAGTGAAGGGTTCCGTTAATGCTAAAGCATACAAATACATTTTGGACCAGGTGTGGTCAAATTAATATGGAATTCAGGAGCTAGTCTGCCTAACGCAAAAACCAGCAGGATTTTTATAGGAGCCATCTCCATTGACAACAACAAGGAAAACCTCAAACGTTGGCTACATGGTTCCTTGTCCAGCACTAATTTAGACAGTTGTGCTTTTTCAACCTTGTGAGAACAGTTTGGTGAAGGCCCATTTCTGTTCCACCAAAGCCAGCTCCATAAAGAAATGGTTTAAACAGTTTGGTGTGGAGGAACGTAAGTGGCCTTCACAGAGTCCCGAGCTCAACGCTGAACACCCTTTGGGATGACCTGGAACACTGATCGTGAGCCAGATCTTCTTACCCAACATCAGTACCTGACCGCACAGGAACCTAAGTGGCCTTCCCATAATCCTACTGAACACCTTTGGGATGAACTGGAACAATGATAGTGAGCCAGATCTTCTCAACCAACATCAGAACTTGACCTTAAAAATGGCCACAGATATTCACAGGCACTCAGAACTCTTTTGGAACAACTTTCCAGAAGAGTGGAGGATGTTATAGCCACAAATGAGGGCCAACTTCTCATTAATGGCCATAGTTATGAAAGGAATATCAAACTAAGATCATACAGGTAGGATGGTCAGGAGGGGTTCATAAACTGTTGTTCACATACAGAGTACAGACCGCTAAAAATACTTTTGATCACTCCAATACTCCTGTTTAGTGAACACAATTCTGCACACTATTTTCTAAATGCTGACAAACCAGCTAATGGATGGATTTCCAAGCAAAACAGATTTCCAATGCCGGAAACAGACAAGTGTGAACAGGTCCTGATGGGTTTCTTTATTATTTAATCCAACAATCAGGCGTAGCTTGCTTCTCCCGCAGTTTCTGCGCTATACAACTTTGCATCTCATGGTAACAATGTTGCAAGCTGCAGCAACAGAAATGGCAAGTAGAGGCATTGTGAAGCCCCAATCTGAATGGGTTAATCCAAGTGCAACTTGTGCAGAGCCCTGTCCCCCTCCTCAGTCACACCGCCCCCCTACCAGAAGCCGTGCTGGCCCTGGATGACACAAAGTGGTCAGAACAAAACAAACACAGGGGCTTTCCCCAGTGCCAGAGCCCCTCCACCCAGCCCACTCCCCTCCACCAACTATCAACAGGACCCAGAACAAAACACTTCCATTACATCCAGCAGATTGCATCCCAAAAGAGAGCCACAGGAGGGAGCAGGGACAGCCCCGCACACTGCCAGCTT